AATTTTGACTGAGACTGTAGCCTACCATAAAGTTCCTAGAAGGTCTGGTATGACGGCGGAACTCTGGTGGAGTGGAACTCGTACATTTGGTATGTTAAGAAATTTGCTGTCAGGTGATGTGCTGAAGTTAAAAGGTCCTAAAAAATCTTTTGAACTCTTTGGGACAGAAGAATAACCACACAGGGTTCGCAGGGTTCTCTTCTACCCATCCCTGCAGAGTGAGAGAGACCCTGGCTCGTCACGTGTATGCCAGGAAAAAAATTCCCCAAGGTGTCCCTGTTTTTGGAAGTTTTGATGCCACAAAGTTTTCTAACATCAAAGCAAGATGGGTTTCACTTGTTGAAATCTGTCATGTTAATAGTGGAACTTAAGTCAGCAGCTATTGGAATATGAAATTAATGTCAATTAAATTAAGCCAAGTTCAGTGTCAGTCCGGAGGCAGTTTTCTGTGAAGTAGTTGCTGTCAGTGCTCTGCTAACAGGATACGGAAATCTTTAATATTAATCATCTACCATTACTTTTATTTTGCTACCTGGACTTTTTTTTTGCTAAGATCTCTATCCCTTCAACAGCTATGGGTAGAAAAGAACCCTAGGAACTATGTTGTAGAAATAACTGAAGGGGGCTGACAAATCGCAAAAAAAACTATGGTAAGGCAAACGTCAAAAAAAAAGTGAGCAGTGGTTAAAAAATAATCCAGAAAAGTGCTATCTGTAGAGCCACACTTACTTGACCAATCAATGCAATTTCCTCATAGAAGAAGCAAAATTTAATGTCAAAAGTCACTTAAAGTTAAACCACTTATCAGTTCTTATTTACTGCATTAACTAGCTAATGATATTTGCTTTTTGTACTTTACACAGTCACATAATATTTTCAATAGTACCACTATCTTTGAGTTAAAGTAATATATGCTAATTCGAGTTTATGTACCCTCTTACAAAAAAATCATATGATTTTTGAATATGACTTCTAAGACAAGTGGACACAGATTTAATTTCAAAAATGAGAGAAAAAGAGGTGAAGTCAGATACCAAATTAATAATAAGTTTTGCAGTGTCAACATGCTTAGTAATACTTCTCAATGTAAATGATGCATGGCTTGTGCCTGAACATACACAGTGTAACATGAACTTTCTTCTTTCGATCATGCCATTTATCCAACCAAATATTGCTATTAAAATGGTGTCATATCTGACATATCTCGTAGTATTCATTGTTGTCTTAATGTTTCTGTTGGACAAGGTTTGTATACTTTGAATAACTACTCAGCGAGAGATGGTTCAATAGCAATTTCCTTGGCATTGTGTAGAACTTTGAAAGCACTGTTTCAAAATTTCTCCATATCTTTGGTAATTATCAAGAAATTCTAGAAGTCTTGTGAACCATTCCTTTTGTGATTAGAATTTAACCATATCCATCAGTCGAATTTTACTCTCAATGATGTCCTTTAACCATTTCTCGCGGAACCTGGTCTTTCCTGGTCTAAAAGTAACAGAGAAAATCAGTGTACATATGATATCATATACTTGTAATAAAGCCCCACGTTACTTGTGATAAACTGCTTTATTGTTCATTCAAAATATTTCTCCTTTTCTGATTGGCTAAAATCCCAACCATAATTCACCATAACCAGCTATTGTATGCCATATTGAACCAATGACATCAAAAGTGCAGCAAAATTGCAGATTATTGAACCATTAACATAGAAAACCTGGGAACAAGGTTGAGTTGTTTTGGTAGTGAGAACAAAAATGGCAGACATTTCACTCCTTTCAACAGGAAGAATTAGGCAACCTACTGGCTAAAAAACAGCAAGAACAGCAAGATTACAACTCGAACATGATGTCACACTTTTCTCTATTTCCTTACCCTTAAATTCACCACCTGGATGTGATGCATGGTCAACTTTGGGCAATCTTCCAGGTCCGAGTCTTGCCATCAGATACTTGGTTCTTATACCGACCAGTCTTAAAAGCAATTTTGTCCTAGATACTACTCCAGGCACAAGAAAAAAAAAGAAAGAAATGAAAACAGACATAGAAAAGGCAACATACCTGTGAACCAAACGATGTGTCTCAAAAATATAGTACACTTCAACAGGAAAAGTCTAAAATCAAACAGGTTCAAACTTGATCAAAATAATAAATGTGGCTGACTTCTTACATATTTTGATAGTCAGGAGAAGGAAACAGAGATGTTGAAAGCCCGCTGGCAGCTTAGCGGCCAGTCCAGTCAAAAACAAAAACATAAATGCATGCAGGGTGGTCACTCAGATTTCAAGTCGCTGGGTATATGTGATTAGTAAGTGGGGAATTAAAGAGCTAGGAAGTTCTTTAGGTTCTATTTTCCCATTTGCTTCCTGAGAAAGTAGCCAGGAGGCTTTATGCTCTTAGTAGATGTAGTTGGGTAATAATTTGAGTGCTTCAAGATGGATTACATACATTTGTATTAATGTTTGTGATTTAAAAAAGTTTCCATTACAGTTTCCATCATGAGTGTTGTAAGAGCCACATGCAGGAAAGGTTTTCAGTGAAAGGACGTATATAATTAAGAAGTAATGTTAAATTATTCAAAATAAGGTGATTTTTTTTTTGTTTCCGAATGGTTCCAACCCCCCGCCTAATTCCTCATAACCGACTGATGCTTCCCAAATTTGGATGATGCAAGCAGTATTAATATAATTTATACCATCAATTCAATGGTATATTTGTTTAGAAAACAAGGTTGATTGATGGTATATTTAATTGGAAATGAGGCTGCAGGGGCAAAAGTGAACTAAAAAAATAGCACTCATGGCTATCTGAGGACAAAATAACTGAATTTTTTACTAAAACCAAATGGAAGAAATGCAAGAATGTACAAATAATGTTGCTCAGTGGATGTTAACTACTTTTAGAGGAGTATCTGCAAGAAAAAACATCTGGTTATTCTCTTTATATCCTGAAACCGTGCCAAGAAACAGGCCAAAATTTTGAAGAAAGTTGATCTACAAGGAGGTAAGCTTGTTAAGAACTTAGAAATAATTTTGAATGAATAACTATTAAAACAATTACTGAATTTGGCTTTCGTATGATGTGCTGTTATCATTATAACCATGGAGGCTAACAACATAAATGTACTCCTCAATCTGCAAAATTCTTCACATCATAATCAACCTCATTCAATAGTTGTTAGGTATATCACCTCTGCTTCTCAGCAAATTATGCCACATTCACTCCACTAATGTATCATATGACTCATATGGCCCTGTGTGCAATTTCATTGGAAAACCATATGAATAAAGTCCGGTATGAGGACCATATGTATCAAGCGATAAGGCCTGATCGATGCAGGTTCACTCCGTCAAAAAAATTCTAGCCTGCATAGTAAGCGTTTCCGTGCGGTTTAGGAGCAAAGAACGAGGGACGAGAGTCAAAGACTGCGCAAAAAATGGCATAAGTAAAAGAGCGGGGAGGGGGTGGGGAAGAAAGGAAGGAAACGCTTGCAGACAAACGCCGGGATTTTGAAAACCGCCCACTTGGCCTGTCATGCCTGAGTTCGCACACTAACATTAATTTTGATGCTGTCATCAGCTGTCATAATTGACCAATAAAATGTTTGGCTTTTAGTGGAGCGAAAATGAACTTCAGAGGACGCGTATGTGAACCCAAAATATATTTTTTGTATTTTGTAACACGTGGACAGCGTTTATGTTGAAATATCATTGAATCTGAACAATCAATACAGGCTTAGGACATTTGTATTTCTAATCCGTCTAACTGTCTGTAAATCACCATCTGAGAGAATTCAACATCCCTCAAAAAAGACACTAATGAGCTGGGCCCTGCATAATAATTTCGCGAACAAAAGAAAGTTATTATTGAGATCCAGGAGGCACTTTGGAGAATAAATTAAACGACCTGAAACCCTTATTTAGTCGCAAGACGAGCCTTACGTTTCTAAAGAGGACAAAGAAAATGTCCTTGCATTGCAGGGCAAATCTTGCTGACCAGAATAAACAACAACCACTGAAAATAAAACATACGTGTCACGTACGTTACCGTCCTCTCAGTATGAAACAAACCTTTGATCGACACATGTCAATATTGTTTGACTAGCTGAACCAATCAGGCACTGCATTTGCTGGCGAACGCAGGTTTTCAAAATCGAGGGGTTTGTCTTCAAGCATTTCCTTCCTTCCCCTCCCCCTCCCCCATCTTTCATTTTTTGGCTCTTGTTTCATTTCTTGTGTGGCCAAAACCGAGAATCCCGTTCCTCAGTCTTTCTTTACTCCGAAACCAAACGGAAACGCTTGCTGCGCAGGCTAAAAAATTCAAAAAGCTTAACGGCCATATGATAAAATGCTTATTGACTGTACGAGGTCCGTGCGTCCTGGCCACAAGCCAAATATTTTCTCATCCAGCCCTCCCATTCAGTTAATAAGTACATGGTATTTACCATACCTTTGGCTTAAATTTGCTAACTTCAATGGTAATGTACACTGAAGCAGTTGCTCTTGGGATTGGCTTTCTTCTGGTTGGTATACTCCACTTAACAGCATAGCGGTATCGCCAACTGTAGGGATGTTCTTCCTCTCTTAAAAAGTCAATACAGTAAAGCCAGCTGCCGTCACGCTCCCATGTCTGCAAGATATTGGTCACTGCTAATGTTAATATCATGTTGAATCATTGTCAGTATTTATTGCCAAGCAAACAGCACATTGACAAACTGAGGATCTCTAGGACCAGATTCAAGCCTTTCCTTTATCAACAGTTATGTATTGTGCAATCTAGTAATGAAGCTCTGTAGCTAGCCTGCGTGCAGACGATAGACGGAGTTAACCAGAGTTTAATCTCGTCTGCGCGCAGGCTACTCTGTAGCCTGCATTTCTATTTTTTTTTTCACTGGCAGTTTCTTTGGAGAACAGCAATGGAAACTTCATTGGGGGCGAAACCCATCCCACCAAGGAAATGGGAAGAAGATAAGGAAAAACCAGCTTCCTGCTTTAGTAGCTAGCGCTAACCAACTACCTGTATAAAACAGCTGAGCTTTATAAGCTTACTTACCTCAATAAATTCTTCAATCTTTTCTAAACCCCCTGCAACGGTAAAGCTATCCGCAGTCATCCATTTAATATTCGGTATCTCGTATCCTGTTTCAGGGTCTGTTGTTGGTTCATCATCTTTTCCTTCAGGAGCTTCTCCGTCTCTTGCTAAAGAGCCACCAGCATAAACTGAAAAGCGCCGACGAGCATTTTCTATGGCTTCGTCAACAATTTCACGAGCTTCTTCCTCGTAAATTTCTTCAAGCGTTCGATTTCCTGGCACAACCGTACGAATGATTCGCTCTGGCTTCTTTGCTGTTGTTGCAGACATTTCCAACGAAAGAAAAGAACAAAATTTTGATAACTTGTCACAGGAGTTTGTCCACCATGTCCACCATTTTAATCACGTCCAGTTTCCATGGTAACGATAGTCACGGTACGCATCCTCTTCTTTGTAGAAGCTGCTGACAAAGGGATTGCTATCAAGAACTCGAATGCCCTGGGTACAAGTGTGTTCTCAAAAAAATAAAATAGGAAAAATATGTATTCTTTTTTTTTTTTACCTTCTTTATATTTTTACTTATGAAAACAGAAAATAAAGGAAAAGAATTCTATGTTTCATTATAAACTGTCAATATATGTTTTAGTTTTTTAGAATTAAAGTTATTTGTTTTTTACTGTTTTTTTTGGCTTAACCTCGTTTCTATGTTGACTGTATCATATGTCATTTCTTTGATCCGATGAGCTTTGAGAACTATTCAGCGCAGAAGTTAGTACCGATATTTGCGACACCGGAAATTCGTGTTCGAAGTATGACTTCCCTTATAAATGAATGGAACAGTAGCAAAAATGTCTTCTTCGGCTAGCGATTGTACGTGGTATCATGGACGAATCACACGTGAGCAGGCCATAGAAATTTTACTGCAAAACGGTCGACAAGAGGGACTTTTCCTCGTCAGAAACAAAGCTGGCAGAGACGACAACTTTGCCTTGTCGTTATGGCATGGAAATCAAGCGCTTCATTTCCAAATTCAGTGTCGAGGTGGGATTTATTATTCCATAGACGATGGGCCGACTTTCGAAGGTTTAGATTCTCTGATTGAATATTATATGGAACAAGCCGATGGTCTGCCTACCCGACTAACACAATTCTGCGAGGGCAATCCGCCCCCTGCTTCATGTAGAAAACACGGAGTAACAACACCACTGCATCTCGCCTGCGCTGAAGGAAATTACAGTTTAGTTTCTGGGCTGCTTAGTGGTGGAAATCAATCTGATATCAACACACGAAATGAGCAAGGGTCTTCACCATTGCACGAGGCTGCTTTGCTTGGCTTCGAAGACATCGTTTCTCTTTTGCTCAAACACGGTGCAGACACGAAAAGCAAGGATGACGAAGGGAACACGCCGTTACAGGTAAAAACATCAAGGTCTTCGTTTTCAGAAATTTATGTTCTTCATTATTTGTCCTTTATCGGTTATAAATAAATTGAATGCACTTCCTTGTAGTAACCTGAAACCTCATTTGTAATAGATTGTATCCATGTTTATATTACCACTTCATTTCTCCGTGTCTACGGATAACACTAGTTTTCTGAATCTTTTCCTAGTTTCTTCAAAATTACTTTGTTTACTATCTTCTATGATGTATAAAAATGTATGAACAAACAGGGAATTCACTGAACCATGAAATTTCCTTGTAGCTTAGTAGCAAATTGATTCAGTGGTTGTGGTCCTCTATGGTAAAAAGAATGTAAACAAACTGTAGTGTGCTGAAATGTTTCAGGACAGAAATATTATATACCTGCCGACTCACACGCATCATGTGTTTGTCACACACCTGCAGATCAAAGATGTCAATCATGCATACAGGAAAACTCCACTTACTTTTAAGAATAAAATCATAATTCTGGACTGCACTGCTCGTTCTGTGTCTTGCTTGTTCTGTCATTAATTCAGGTGAATTGAGCCATGACGGAAAATTTTTTTTGTTTTTAACGTGATGGCTCTGAAAATTTGTAAAGAG